TGTATTATATGTGAATATATATTATATAAATGATATGTTTATAATATATAAATACATATTATACATGTAAACTATAAATTATACATAAACTATACATAATATAAAAACCATATATAATACATATAAACTATATATAATATAATGTTATTGAACAATATATAATACTTTGGTTCATCAGCAAAGTCATGATGTGTTTTTCTATGCAAAAGTGTGTCATGACTTTTCTGACAACTCAATATATGAACATTTGTTTTAGATCATTTAATTTTTTTAAAGAGATTTTTGCTATAGGGCGTGTGAGCTTGCTGAAGAGACAAAGAGAGACAGAAAGTAAGAAATCACCCCCCAGGGAGGATGGCCATGCTCCAATCCCTTCTCCTCCATCCTCCTCCTGGGATTTTGGGCATGAGTTTGAAGCAGCCGGGTCTGGGATTCAAACTGTAGTCAACTATGTGGGAGTCCAGTGACATAACCTTCACACCATCTGTTGGGTCCTGGATAATATTTTTTAACAAGAAAAAAGTAAATGTTCAGCTGTTACTGCTTATCATTATTAGGACATTCCCATCATCAATTGTGATAAAAGCAATATAAATAGAATAACGTTGTAAATGTATATGTCAGGATGATTAATTCTGCTGCAGCAGACGGCGGTAAACCATTATTGCTGTTTACAAGAACTTCTCAGCTACAGGTTTGTCTTGGTAATCAGTGACAGTGAGGTGTTTAACTAAACTCTGTTAAACAATGACTGATTTAGGAGTAGAAAAATAAATAAATAAAAGCAAAACTGCAAGGATGTGGGGTCCAAAGGGTCTTGACTTGGGCGGCAGTGCCACCCTGAGCTCCCTCTCCCGGGCCTCGTGTACACAGCGGGGGTAAAGGTGGATGGAAACACACTGTCCACTGCTGCGAGGAGCAGACTGGACAGGCTGGGACGTGCTCAGCACGGTGCTGGGCAAATTCTAGGCCTGGGATTTGAGCAAATTACTTCACCTCTGTCTCCTTATTTGAAAGATGAGATCGATTTGCTCTTGTCAGTGTTTTTTAAATTTTGTTTTATGCCAGAGGTGCATTTGCCAGAGAAAGAGAGAGAAAGAGAGAGGAGAGAGAAAGAGAGAGAAGAGAGAAAGAGAGGACCCCTCCCCTCCATGGGGAATGGCCAAGCCACAATCCCTTCTCAACCTCTGTTTCTGCCTCCTTTCAGGATGTTGGGCATACATGCACACCTGCCTGGAGTGTTTTCCAAGCTAGTAAGTCCAGGACTCGAACCATAGTTGGCCATGAGGGATCCAGCCACCTCAACCACCACACCATTGACTGACCTGAGTTATTTTAAGAAAGACATGAGATAGATTCCGGGAACAAGGGAAATGTGGTTTCCTCCTCCCCTTCCATCTCTGAGTTATTTATCTCTTCTGGGCCAACTGACTCCTCGAACCCCCAGACGCCTCAGGTGGGGCCTGATACAGGGTTTTCGACTCAGTGGGCTGGGCCAGAACCCCAGCCAGGATCTAAGGACAGCGCAGTGGGAGGTGCCTGCAGTCCCGAACCTGTGGTGCAAGTGCAAGGAAAGAGACCCGCAAAGCTCGAGAGGCGAAATGCTGGAGGTAGACATGGCGGGTCCTGGCCAAGCAGACAATCTCGGCAGAGTGAACTGTCACCTGAGCAGGTCGAGTGGGTAGAGGTCGCGAGCAAAGGCCTGTACACGGCCTCAGAGACAACTCCAGACTTGGACTTACGTTTTTGCCAAATTTGAGAACCATTTTTTCAGCATTTATGTGATCCAGAAAATTAGGATGATTCTTTCTCCTTCGATAATCCTCTTCAGTAAATGGGACCTCAGAATCATCCTGAAAGAGGAAAGGTACAGGCTTGATCCACTTGAGCTGCCTAAGGCCGAGATGTGTTCCTTTAAGCTCAAATAAAGCTTAAATCCACTGCTTATTTTAACAGATGTCACATTTTCTTTTTAAGAAAAAAACTTTAAAGAATTATTTATTTAATTTTATTTATTATTATTATATTTTAATTTGCTATAGGGCATGTGTGTTCACCAGAGAGAAAGAGGGAAGTTGCCAGGTCCAGGATTCAAACCACAGTCAGCCGAACCCAGTGCCTTAACCACCATGCCACCTGCTGGCCCCAAGATAACATTTTCTTGAAGATGCTTTAGCTAGCCAAATTTTACAATTTAAACTGAATCAAAAGCAGATTAACATCTTAAATGTTTGTTTTATTTTGTAGAGATGGTGGTGGTAGGTTGTCACTATTATTCTATAAAGGTAGTAAATAAATCATCTCTTCATAGTTCTTACAATGTATGTAGCTTCATGTTTTAATTAGTTAATTTTAAATTTTGCTGTAGGATGTATTCATTAACTGAAGAGAGACAGAGAGAGAAAGTTAGAAATCACCCCTTGGTGGGATGGCCACGATCCCTTCTCCTCCATTCTATTCTCAGAATTTGGGACATGCACACACATATGCCCAATGTGTGTGTGTTTGTGTGTGTGTGTATGTTTTGAAAGTTATTTTGCTGTAGGGTGTGTGTACTCGCCAGAGAGACAGAGACAGACAGACAGAAAGCAAGAAATCTTACTGCAATCCCTTCTCCATTCTCCTCTCAGGATTTTGGGCATGCATACACATGCACCCAGCTTGAGTTTTAAGCTACTGAGTCTGGAATTTGACCTGCTGTCAACTACATGGGAGTCCAGCAACGTACCCATTACACCATCTATTAGACCTCATTGATGCTCTTTTTAATTTGCCAGAGGGCCCATGTCCTTTTTGAAGCAAGACAGAGAGAGAGAGAGAGAAGAAGTGAGTAAGCAATCCCCGTGATTTGCTATGGGTCACAGGCACTCACCAGACAGATAGAAAGAGATAAGGAAAGTCAGAAAGCAAGCCACCAGGTCTGGGACTTGAACCCAGTCAACCATGTGTGAGTCCAGAGCCTTAACCACCACGTGTCCTGCTGGTCCCAAATGGATGATCTTTTAAAATGTCTTTTTTTTTTTTCTTTTGAGAGAGAGAGTTTTGCTATAGGGCGTATGCACTTGTAAGAGAGACAGAGAAACAGAAAGCAAGAAATCACCCTACAGGGAGGATGGCAACGCTGCAATCCCCTCTCCTCCATTCTTCTCTTGGGATCTTAGATACGTATGCACACATGCCTGGCATGAGTTTTAAGCTATCAGGTCTGGAACTCGAACTGCAGTTGACTACACAGGAGTCCAGTGATGTAACTATTATCCCATCTATTTATCCTTTAAAATGTCTTTTAAAAGATTAGACTGGGGGCCAGTAAGTGGCAATGGTGGTTAAGGTGTTGGATTCCCATATGATCAACCATGGTTTGAGTTCTGGACCTGGTAACTTGGAAATCACAGTGTGTGTGTGTGTGTGTGTGTGTGTGTGTGTGTGTGCCAAAATCCCAAGAGAAAAATGGAGGGGATTGTTGTGTGGCCATCTTCATGGGAGGTGATTTCTCCCTTTCCCTTTCACTGTCTCTCTCTCTCTCCAGCAAGTGCACACACCCTATGGCAAAACCTCTAAAAATAATAGTAATAGAAAAATGAAAGATTAGATTGATATGTAGCACCGAAGTGAAAAGGAATGACGCAGGGACAAAGGCGCAGGAGCAGAGCGGCAGACGTCAATGCCACGTTAGTGAAGAGCACGAGCCACGTCAGAAGAATGACCTAGTGCATGTTCCTCGCACCCTGGTAACCACGTGCTTTAGAGCGAAGTACTTACAATCAAATGGCACGACTCAAGTTTTACATGGAGTTAGTGTGTGGAAACGGATGGTAGGTGTGATTCCGGGCCGCTGGACTCTGAATATGAAGAAGTTTGGGGAATACGACTCCGGTGTTTTGTGTGTGTTTTCCTTTCGATGTATGTAAAGAATGAATACGATAAGAATATAGGTTGCAGAGCCAGCAGGTGGCATAGTGGTTAAGGCACTGGACTGCCACATGGTCAACCATGGTTTGAGTTCTGGACCTAGTGGGCTGCTTTTTCGCTTTCTCTCTTCTCTCCCTCTGTTGCTCTGTGGTCAAATTGAAGAAATAATAATGATGAATAAAATTAAATAAAATAATTCTTTAAAAAATACATAGGTTTTAAAGGAGCAGGATCCCATATGGCCAACCGCAGTTTAAATTCTGGCCCCAGTGGCTTGAAAGACACACTGAGTACACATGCGTGCATGTGCGTGCATGCCCCAAAGCCCAACACGACTGGGAAACGGAGGGTTCCCACTGGGGTTGCTTCTCTCTCTCTCTCTCTCTCTGGCAAGTGCCTGTGACCTCTGGCAATCGTCCAGAAGAGAGCTCTTTCTATGTGTTTAAAATAGAAAGTCTCGGTGACAAGCAAGCGTTGCTGTGATTTATCTATTTGTTTTTGGAATTATAGTGCAACTTCATTTACTCCTTCGGTTCTTCCAGGAGGAGGAAGAGACATTGACATAAACAAGCACTCCAAGAAAGTGATGCCCTGGGCTCTGGGTGGGGTATGCTAGGGAGCAGTGTCCGGGGGCTCCCCGCCAAGCCTAGTCTAGGAAGGGGTTTTACAGTCAGCAACTCGGCAGCTATCCACCCTGGAATACAGACTTAGCAAAGTGAGTGCCCTTCGCAAACTCACGAGACGAGGAGTGCCCCCACGAGGTTTCATACAGGACCAGGGCAAGCCTGGCGGATGACTTTTTCCTAAAACGTCAGCAATCCGATGGACCTCGTTATCAAGCCTCAGGGCCAGTGTAGATTTGATTGAACAGTGATAGGTTTCATATGCCCTTTGAACCCTACGCTGTATATTCAACAGAAATAAGCAACCAGGCAAAACAAAAACACTGGAAGTAAGAGTTTGTCCACATAAATAACAGGAAAAGAAAAGGAAGAAGCAGAAAAGTAATCAGGTTGCTCTCAAAGATGTTTAGCAAACACTAAATCTTCAAAAGAAAAAGTCTAATGATTTTCTACTAAGACCTAAATCAGATTACTTAACGTGGAACACTGTGCTGAAGCAAAAGGCCAATTGTTTTATTGAAAGAACTAGTTCCTATTACATTAAAGAAACGTCTTACACAGGCACATAATGGATTATAAGTCTTAGGATAACAAAAATACTGCAATGAGAACTCAAATTAGGTGAAGGTTGTAGTTGTGTTGCATTGCTGTGGTTTCATAAGTAGCTTTTTTTCTTCTTAAGTGGCATTTACAATGGAATCCCTTGGAATTGATGTGCCTAGGGCCAATAAACTGTACTGAGCACTTGTTAGGGATAGAGCTCGGCAGCGCAAGAATCCCCAGCTCATCCTAAAGAGCTCCCTCCACTCACACAGACCCAGGAAAACTCAGGAGAAGCGTTAGCTGATGCTCACTCACAGGGTCCAGGGGCTTGGATCGTGCCCAAGTCATCACCGTGGACAGTAAGATAAACACCTTCCTCTTTTCAAAATGGCTGACTTCTTCATTCAGAGCTGTAGGGTCAAAAAGCAGAGTGGTTATCTGGATCTATGCAGAACTGGTTTTTGAAATCATGTGTACTGTTAGTTACCGGTGGGGCTTGACGTTACCCCTTCTTCCAGGAGCATTTCTTTTCTTTTCTTTTCTTTTCTTTTTAGGTTTTTGCCTTAGGCTGTGTGCACTCTCAGAAAGAAAGACAGAGACAGAGAGAGGGAAAGTGAGAAATCACCCCGGGGTGGGGGGGGATGACCATGCCACAATCCCTTGTCCTCCATTCTCCCAGGATCTTGGGCACACACACACACCTCTGGCATGATTTTCAAGCTGTCAGGTCCAGGACTTGAATCATGGTTGGTCATGTGGGAGTCCAGCGACGTAACCATTATGCCATCTGCTGGCCTCTTCCAGAACCAATTTACCACCAAGGTGGTGTTTTCTCTGATGCTCCATTGTCCCCTCCCCATCACTGTTCTTCAAATACTCCCTCCAGTAGCCCGATCTCTTCTTCTTTTAAAAATGTATTAGTTTTTGCAAGAGAGTGACAGAGTTGGAGAGACAGGAGCCCAAGCAGGGTCCTCACACTGAGGCACACCCCCCAAGGCAGCCAGCCGAGATCACAAACACGCATGTTCAGGGAGGTACCAAGATGCAAACCCAGGCCCTTTCCCGCCACGTTAGTGAAGAGCACGAGCCACGTCAGAAGAATGACCTAGTGCATGTTCCTCGCACCCTGGTAACCACGTGCTTTAGAGCGAAGTACTTACAATCAAATGGCACGACTCAAGTTTTACATGGAGTTAGTGTGTGGAAACGGATGGTAGGTGTGATTCCGGGCCGCTGGACTCTGAATATGAAGAAGTTTGGGGAATACGACTCCGGTGTTTTGTGTGTGTTTTCCTTTCGATGTATGTAAAGAATGAATACGATAAGAATATAGGTTGCAGAGCCAGCAGGTGGCATAGTGGTTAAGGCACTGGACTGCCACATGGTCAACCATGGTTTGAGTTCTGGACCTAGTGGGCTGCTTTTTCGCTTTCTCTCTTCTCTCCCTCTGTTGCTCTGTGGTCAAATTGAAGAAATAATAATGATGAATAAAATTAAATAAAATAATTCTTTAAAAAATACATAGGTTTTAAAGGAGCAGGATCCCATATGGCCAACCGCAGTTTAAATTCTGGCCCCAGTGGCTTGAAAGACACACTGAGTACACATGCGTGCATGTGCGTGCATGCCCCAAAGCCCAACACGACTGGGAAACGGAGGGTTCCCACTGGGGTTGCTTCTCTCTCTCTCTCTCTCTCTGGCAAGTGCCTGTGACCTCTGGCAATCGTCCAGAAGAGAGCTCTTTCTATGTGTTTAAAATAGAAAGTCTCGGTGACAAGCAAGCGTTGCTGTGATTTATCTATTTGTTTTTGGAATTATAGTGCAACTTCATTTACTCCTTCGGTTCTTCCAGGAGGAGGAAGAGACATTGACATAAACAAGCACTCCAAGAAAGTGATGCCCTGGGCTCTGGGTGGGGTATGCTAGGGAGCAGTGTCCGGGGGCTCCCCGCCAAGCCTAGTCTAGGAAGGGGTTTTACAGTCAGCAACTCGGCAGCTATCCACCCTGGAATACAGACTTAGCAAAGTGAGTGCCCTTCGCAAACTCACGAGACGAGGAGTGCCCCCACGAGGTTTCATACAGGACCAGGGCAAGCCTGGCGGATGACTTTTTCCTAAAACGTCAGCAATCCGATGGACCTCGTTATCAAGCCTCAGGGCCAGTGTAGATTTGATTGAACAGTGATAGGTTTCATATGCCCTTTGAACCCTACGCTGTATATTCAACAGAAATAAGCAACCAGGCAAAACAAAAACACTGGAAGTAAGAGTTTGTCCACATAAATAACAGGAAAAGAAAAGGAAGAAGCAGAAAAGTAATCAGGTTGCTCTCAAAGATGTTTAGCAAACACTAAATCTTCAAAAGAAAAAGTCTAATGATTTTCTACTAAGACCTAAATCAGATTACTTAACGTGGAACACTGTGCTGAAGCAAAAGGCCAATTGTTTTATTGAAAGAACTAGTTCCTATTACATTAAAGAAACGTCTTACACAGGCACATAATGGATTATAAGTCTTAGGATAACAAAAATACTGCAATGAGAACTCAAATTAGGTGAAGGTTGTAGTTGTGTTGCATTGCTGTGGTTTCATAAGTAGCTTTTTTTCTTCTTAAGTGGCATTTACAATGGAATCCCTTGGAATTGATGTGCCTAGGGCCAATAAACTGTACTGAGCACTTGTTAGGGATAGAGCTCGGCAGCGCAAGAATCCCCAGCTCATCCTAAAGAGCTCCCTCCACTCACACAGACCCAGGAAAACTCAGGAGAAGCGTTAGCTGATGCTCACTCACAGGGTCCAGGGGCTTGGATCGTGCCCAAGTCATCACCGTGGACAGTAAGATAAACACCTTCCTCTTTTCAAAATGGCTGACTTCTTCATTCAGAGCTGTAGGGTCAAAAAGCAGAGTGGTTATCTGGATCTATGCAGAACTGGTTTTTGAAATCATGTGTACTGTTAGTTACCGGTGGGGCTTGACGTTACCCCTTCTTCCAGGAGCATTTCTTTTCTTTTCTTTTCTTTTCTTTTTAGGTTTTTGCCTTAGGCTGTGTGCACTCTCAGAAAGAAAGACAGAGACAGAGAGAGGGAAAGTGAGAAATCACCCCGGGGTGGGGGGGGATGACCATGCCACAATCCCTTGTCCTCCATTCTCCCAGGATCTTGGGCACACACACACACCTCTGGCATGATTTTCAAGCTGTCAGGTCCAGGACTTGAATCATGGTTGGTCATGTGGGAGTCCAGCGACGTAACCATTATGCCATCTGCTGGCCTCTTCCAGAACCAATTTACCACCAAGGTGGTGTTTTCTCTGATGCTCCATTGTCCCCTCCCCATCACTGTTCTTCAAATACTCCCTCCAGTAGCCCGATCTCTTCTTCTTTTAAAAATGTATTAGTTTTTGCAAGAGAGTGACAGAGTTGGAGAGACAGGAGCCCAAGCAGGGTCCTCACACTGAGGCACACCCCCCAAGGCAGCCAGCCGAGATCACAAACACGCATGTTCAGGGAGGTACCAAGATGCAAACCCAGGCCCTTTCCCACGTGGGTCCAGTGTTACTGAAAGCCCCCTGCCTGATCCTTTCTGAGCTCAGCACAAAGTCCAGCTCTTCCTGTCCCTGGCATGTGCTTTCGCTGTTTTGGGGGGTTGATGATGGAATTACTCAGCCAACTAGGACTGGAATAATCCATGGGCTTTAATGAATTCTCGCCGCTATGAGATCGGTTCTGTGATTACCCATGTTGTGCAGAGTGCCCAGGTCACAGGGAGGAGGGGCAGTGATGAGGAGGGTCCATTCCAGGTGGCCGGGATGCAGGACGAGGGAGCAGGGGCAGGCAGGACAGGAGGGGCCCCAGGAGGCAAGGCCCTCTTATGATTGTACCTATGATTTAGAGCCTTTTTGTCTTAAGCCATTGTGGAAGGAAGTAAACTGAGGCATGCCCACTGTTCCCACTCCACCTGGCTGTGGGGAGGGCCTATGCCCAGGGGACCATGCAGGCTGAGGGTCAAGGTGGAGGGAACGCTTGGTGAGGAACAATCTCTAGGAATCAGTATACCGAATAGAGGTGGCCGGAGAGTATTTGACTTCCAGGGGGGTTGTCATTTTACAAGAAAGCTCCCTATACAGTTAAGCATGAATTTCCTTGAATGCATTTGACCTGTGATGCCACTAAAATATTCCTGGGGTAACATTTTCCAGGAGGAAAACAAAAAATCTAGGCTACAAAGTGAGGTCTAGGGGCAGCCCTATGGCACAGTGGTTAAGGGAGCCGTGGTTTGAATCCTGGCCCCAGGGGCTTGAAAAAGACACCGGCACACATGCATGTGCGAGCAAAATCCCAACAGGATGGAGAAATGGAGCAGAAGGCACTGGACGTGGCACACCCCATTCAGGGGAGGTGCTTTCTCTGGTCTCTGTCTCTCTCTGGTAAGTACACACACCCTCTGGCGATTAAAAAAGGGAATAAATAAAATGAAGTGAGGGCCAATTCAACTGTCAGGGAGCCTAAGTCTCCTGAGGAGATTCCCTGAACAAGGCCAACGAGGAGATGCTGGTAGCCTGAATCCAATACATGTACGGATTCTCGCCCTAAAATGAGAAAGTGTTACTGAATTAAATCTAAGAACACGATGCTCACATATGAATCCCAACCTCCAATGTTCATTTTAGTTCCTATTTTTATCCTAATTACAAGAATTGTCTGCCGTTTCACTTTGCTCCTTTTAACCTTTCTGCTCTGCCGTCGTTCTGAGCGGCCCATTTTGTGAATACGGGGCACACTCTGAGGTCTGCTCACCGGGTTACCCTTTCTCAGGTCTGATATGTATAATGGGTCTGTCCCGACCTGCTTCTTCCCATGCGCGTACACCTTTTACCCACGTGGGCAAATGTTGCTCTCATCTCTGATCACTTACTCCTTCTCCTACGTCATCTTGCCTTTCATAATGCATGGAAAGCATGGCAGGAGAACGCTAATGAAAAATAATAAATGTAATAGAACAGGATTCACTTCTAAATAACTTAATAAAAACATGAGTAAAAAGCAATGGGTAGGTACAGATGCATTCTAAACACACACATGCGCACACGCGAAACCCACCAACTCTAACAGTGGGAATCAGAGAAAATGGCAGAGTCCCCGTGGCTGTTCTTCGTCGTCCCGCTGACCCCCATCTCTCCAGGGACAGACTGAAGGGCCTCTGACTACATTTTCTGGCAGACATTAACTCTCTGTATCTCAAATATTCTGTAATTCAGTTAAAATCTCTTTTCCAAATCGAGAAACAAATTTTTCTGATTTCGATAAAACTCTTTACTCAAATGAAGAACGCAGGAAAAACATCCTCTGCCTTTTAAAGCTCATGAAAGGAAATCACAGGGTGACAGTTTGAGAAATGATAAGTTTCCTCTAGGTGCAGTGGGCTGGTCCTAAGAAGAACCTGTTATAGCAGGAAGTTAATGTTGATGCCTGAATTCAAGGTCAAGACATCTGAAGGCATTTTTATGTATTAAGAGGAACAGCTGAGTTAAGTGATTTCATGTTGCAGGAGCAGAGATGGAGTAGAAAGGAAATGAGGGGCCAGCAGGTGGTGTGGTGGTTACATTGCTGGACTCCCACATGGCCAACGACTGTTCAAGTCCCAGACTTGGGAACTGAAAAAATTTTTTTTTCTAAAAAAAGAAATGTAGAGAACTGTTGCTTTCTTTTTTAAACATTTTCAAAACACATCTGATTTCTATTTTAGAAAATGAATACTAAAACTATAAAGAAAATTGCACGTGTACATTATAAGAAAAATCAATTGTCAATGCCTGGCACAAAATAAGTTCTTAATAAACATTAGCGCTGATAACTGTTTTAGGCAGTACAATTCCATGTCAGCTGTAAATATTTGCAGAGAGAGGAAATGCAGAAAGTAGGCCTAAAATGAGCTCTGCTTCAAAAGATGACACGAATGGTTTGGATATGTATATTAAAAATATGTATTTAATTTTAAAATGATGATGATGATGACGATTTAATTTGCTCTAGGGCTTGTGTGCTCACCAGAGACAGAGAGAGAGGGAAAGTGAGAAAGCAAGCTACCAGGTCTGGGACTCGAACCACAGTCAGTCCTGTGGGAATCCAGTATCTTTACCACCACGCAATCTGCTGGCTCCTGGATTTGTATCTTACTGAATGAAATTGAGGCACAAAGTTATAAATTAAAAATTCAAAATTCTAAGCCCCTGAGGAATCCCACAAACAGTTCTTTTCCTGATTTCCCTGAATATGGTTCAGCCATTCCTGAGGCTCTACTCCATTTCTCTGAGTTTAACTCAAAGTACAGTTTTGTGGGGACCCCATGGCCTAGTGGGTAAGGAGCCACAGATTCTGCATGGCTGACCACATGGCCTGAATCCTGGCCCCTGTGGTTTGAAAATCCCACTGGGAGCAAGTACAGGCACACTCTTGACAGGATGGAAAAATGGAGAAGGAATTGAGGAGGGATCATGCCCCACTGGGGTTGCTTTCTCTCTCTCTCTCTCTCTCTCTCTCTGGTGAGCATATAGTCCCTTTGGCAATAAAAAAAATTTTGAGAGGTTTTCGCTATAGGGCATGTGCGCTCGCCAGACAGAGACATAGATACAGAAAGCGAGAAATCACCCCCCAGTGGGGATGGTCACGCCACAATCCCTTCTCCTCCATTCTCCTCTCGGGATCTTAGGTACGCACGCACACGCGCCCGGCGCGAGTTTTAAGCCACTGGGTCCGGGACGCGAACCGCGGTCAACTATGTGGGAGTCCAGCGACATAGCCATTACGCTAACTGCTGGTTCCCAATAAAAATATTTTTTATGAAAAGAAAATAATTCAACTTTTCAGAAGTGCCCATCTACAAGAGTATTCATTGGGACTCTTTCATAGTTTAGATCAGTTTCAGGACAGTTTTTCCATGGTCCTGTCTTCCTACTGTCCATCAGCGGACTCAGGCAGAGCAAGCTGCATACGCACAGGGCCGGTGTTGGTGAGAGGGTACCGCACTGACCCGAGACCGCCCACAGGGCTTCCTCCACTTGCTGTGCGTATTCAGTGATGTTGTAAATGATAACGTCACACTCCAGCAGGCGCATGAGGAGGTCTTCTCGCGAGATGGTCTGAAAAAGAAAGTGGATAGTTATTTGCTGTGAGAAGGTAACAAGGTAACTTTAAGTAGACGTGCTACCTAGGAGAGGCCCACAGGAAACATTTGCAGAAGGATTTTTATTTAAAATGAAATTTTGGCTCTCCTCTGTGCATAGTTTTCAAGTAACAAAGAAGTTTGTGGAAATAGCCTGAAACAGGTAACTTTAAAATTGCGTAATGATCTTAGGTACTATTTCTGCAGCTGTTTCAGCTCCAATTCACAAGGGAAGAATTAGAACACACTGAAAGAAAAGGAGCAAAGCACTGAGAACTAACTCGAACTCGGAGCAAGGTCATTTGAGCAATTGCTTCCCAGGAGCCCCTCAGAAGTGTGGAGGCGTGATTAACTTGGATTGTTCCAGAATCCTCAAGATGGAATGAATCCGCTCTCTTCCTTGTTGTGCTATATACTTCATTGCAGTTGACAATTGGGACTATTTTAAAAATACAGAGACTTTATGGTTAAAAATGTGAAGTTCTTCCATTAGACAAAAGTAACTTTGGGAATCACCGAGTTTAACCAGCTGTTCTTTGCTGTAGGGTAGGAGCACGTTTCCCAGTCATCCAGTGTCATGGGCGGGTATCATGGTAGCCAGGGGGTCAGGAGGAGGCAGGCGGACAGTGGTGCAGCAGTTAAATGCAAGGCAATCCCTCAGGGGAAGCTTCCTAGTTCAAGTCCTGGAGACTTCTCTCAGTACACCAGGCTCACGCGTGCCTGTGTTCCAGGGCTGGCTGGGGGCTGGGGCTGGGTGATGGCATGAGGACCCCATTGAGGGTGCTGTCTCTCTCTCTCACTCATGGAAGAGGTAAGTGAATAAACTTTCATTTTGATTATTATTGTCAGAGGGCATGTGTACTCACCAGAGAGGCAGAGTGAAAGAGAGGGAGAAAGAATAGCCAGTGGGGTGTGGTCATATCACCATCCTTTCTCCTCCATCTCTTCATTCTGTTGGAATTTTGCACATGCATACACACCTGCCTAACATGCTTCTCAAGTCACAGGAATGGGCTCCAAGCCATGGTTGGCCATGTGGAGTCTACTTCCTTTAACCACTAGACCACGGGGCTGGCCCAAGTGAATAGATTTAAATAAATCAGTGAATAAAGATAGGGGCTCACCGTGGTGGTGCATCCTGCTAAGATTCCATGCTGTGCAGGTTGGGACATGTGAGATGCTCAGGGTTGGTACGTGATCCAGCCGAACGGCCAGGTGCAGTGGTGCGTGTCCGGAATCACAGTGACTTGGGAGGCTGGGGCAGGAGGGCCAGAAGCTCAATGCTGGTCTAAAGGGCCCTGTCTAAAAACGAACCGGGCTTGGTGGTGTACACTTGTAGTCCTAGCTGAGGGACCGCGACAGGAGGATTGTGTCATGAGACCCCCATCTAAAAAGTGACCAAAAAAATCAACCTGAGACAAGAGGGATGTTCCAAATGGAGGTGAGGAACATTCCAAACGCCTGAAACCTGGCAGACAAGAAGTGGCTGGGAAACTGGGTCTGGGCTAGTCGAAGCCCAGACGGCACCTGGAACCACTGCTGACCGGCCTGCTGCCTAACCTTCTGGCTCTTCAGACCCTCATGGTATGGTATTAGATGCTAGAAGACACTCCCTCCCATGCCAGCACAGTTGCCATGACAGTTTGGAATAACCATGGCAACAGCCAAAACTACCCTAATTAGAACAGACACCCACTGAGGTTCAGGGCTGCCCTGCCTATGGGGTGGCCCTTCCGTCTTTCCTTCCAGGTAATACTGCTCCACTTCCTCTCACCCTTTTCCTCCTCCGGGCTGCTCCACCCATGGAGTGGTCTGCTCTGGACACTCCCCTTAATAAACTTGCTTTCAGTCTCCCTCAGTGGCTCTTGAATTCTTTCCTATGCAAAGCCAAGGTTCCTCCTACCCTAGGTAGAGACCCCGAATGAGTTGAGTCTCTTTAGCAAAAAAGCTGATGGCCAGGAGGACCCTGGATCTGTTCCCATTGTTCCAAATCTCTCCCACAGCTCCTGGATGCATTAAAATAGAACTAACTTGGTCTCTCACCAGCGACCTGGCTGGAGAACAAAGGGAAGGAAATGACGCATGGCTGCTTTGATGAGGTTAACAGATCCTAGTTCAATTCAGCAACCAACGTGCCCTGCTGCTTTCTTGGGCCCTGTCTCTAGGTCCTTTTGAGCCTACCGGTATGAACTCTCTCAGGCTATTGTAATGAAGTAGCACAGACTGAATGGCTTAAACGATAGAAATCTGGGGCCAGCAGAGTTGCTTGGTGGTTAAGGTAGCTGGATCCCACAGAGTTGACTGCACGATTGGAGTCCTAGGCCTGGCGGCCTGAAAAATATTCTGGGCATGTGTGCACGCAAGGTCAAAATCCAGAGAGGAGACTGGAAGGGAAGGGGAGGGACTGTGGTGTGGCCATTCCCCCCTGGGGTGGAGGGGTGTTTTCTTAGTTTCCTTTCTCTCTCTCTCTCTTTTTCTGGTGAGACACATGCTGTACAGCAAGTTAAAGAGGAAAGAAATCCCGACAAACGTGTTGTCTCAGTTCTGGAGGCTGAGAGTCCAAGACCAGGGCATTGCAGGACTGGTTTTCTGAGGACTGTGAGGGAGAGGCCTGGTCCCCGCTCTGGTGGTTTGTGGCCATCTTTGGCACTGCTGGCCCTACAGAGGCATCGCCCTGAACTCTGCCTCAGTGTTCACGTGGTGCTCTCCCCCTGTGTGGTTGTCTCTGTCCAAATGTCCCCTTTTTCAAAGGACACCCATTATACTGGATCATGGACCCACCCTTGTGACCTCATTTAAATTTGATTTCCTTCGCAATTCCCCCGACACCAAATAAAATCACCTTCTGTCATACTGGGGGCTAGGACTTGAGCATATCTTTTTTGGAAGGACACAACTCAGTCCCGGACAGCAGCCATTCAGCTCCTTTTCTGGACTGGATGTGCAAGAGGGAAGGCACTTGACCGTTGATCCAAACTTCATGCTTCCTTTGTCAGTAGCAGAATAGTGTGGAATGACACTGCCCTCCTGTGACCCTGGCCTAGAGTCAGGAAAGGAAGGAAGAGCTCTGGAAGGACAGGCGGGGTTAAGGACGTACGTCCCAGAGGGGGTCCAGGAGGAGGAGGACAGCTTGTCCGTGATCACAGTTTGTGAGAGCAGCCGGCGTGGGGGCCCGAGAGAGCCGTGCGTGCCTGTTAAATTGTGGTTGGATCTAGTTATGAACAGACACGTTGCCAAGAGACTACTCATACCAGTGCTCAGGGCCTCGTGCGTGTGTGTGTGTCTATAAGCATGTGTGCATGTTTCAATGGAAACATTTCCAGCAAATAATGACAGTCTAAGATAGATGAGACAGAGTCAAGTACATATGAAACCCTTGGACAAGTTAGAAAAAGACAATTTGCTATTGGTAGAAACATTTTAAGAAGGCATTGAGTCTAGGTCAGAGTAGCATGGTAGTTAAGATGGCTGGATCCCATGTGACTGACTGCAGTTCAAATCCCAGACTTAGCAGCTTGAAAAACACGCTGGGCACATGGGCCTTCCTGAAAAAAGAATAGAGGAGAAGGGACGGGGTGTGATCACCCCACCTAGGGAGGAGTGCTTTCTCACTTTCTTTCTGTGTCTCTCTCTGGTGAGCGCATGTACCCCCTAGTAAAAATTTAAAAAGTAAAAAGAAGATGTGGACTTGAGCACAGGGTGGCTAGCCAATAGTCTGCTCCCAGCGCTTACCCACTCCCGTAGCCAGTGCATAGCCTCAGAGGGCAGCCCGGATACTGAACAGGCTATCACAGAAGGGCATGGGAGGTTCGATGGGTTAGGAGGGAGGTGTGGTTACGCCTGTAAGAAGCAATATTTGGAAGGGTGGCTGTGAGCTAACTTGGCATGGCCCAGAGTGCCCAGGGTATAGCAGGTGGTTTGCTGAGACAGGTAGGGGCATTTTTCACAGCCTGGTCCAGTCTAAAGTTTTCCATCCTCAGTTCGCTGTCACCTTTTCTGCCACCCTTGCCTCTTCCCCTCAGCTCCACATGACCCACACGCTGGCTGCCCTGGTGTTTTCTATTCCAAAGCACACCACGCACGTTCCCAGATGACCCCCTGGCCTGGCGTTTCCTTCCTTCTTTGTCTGCCTGGCAACATGTTCTCAGCCCCAGAGGTGCAACCAGCCCCAGCCTCTCTAGTAGATCCCACCTCCCAAAGGAGGGCCATCTGCAGGACTGCGTGCTGACAGGCCCAGGCTCTAAAGCCCAGAGGAGCTCAGGGTGCCTGGGCTTGTTTGGGGAAAAGGGGTGGAGTTCATTCTCCTGGTTCTGTAGCTGAGACCCAGAACACACATGCACACCTCTGCCACCCTGTCCACCCACGGCTGCATGCACACTGCTGCCACCCTGTCCACCCACTGCTGTGGTGTCCCTGCGCAGCTGTGGGCTTGATTCTCAGCTGAGGATCCTTGGGGTGCTCAACACACATTCACTGGCCAAGTTCAGGTGAGAAGTGAGAGATGATAGAGAGCTGAATTCATGCAAATGGCCCTGAGAATCAAAGGAGAGGCTGTTCAGTGAGCTGGTAGAGAGGATCCCATGGCCCGTGGAGGGTGGGGGGAGTGGAGCCGGGAGGGAGTGAAGGGCCCAGTCCCTGAGGGTTCAGCGTTGGTGGAGGGTGAGTACACAAGGGATGGTATAAAGCAGCAGTCTGGGGGCTCGCAGGTGGCGGGTGGTTAAGGCATTTGGGTTCCCACATGGCTGACCACAGTTCAAGTCCTGGACCTGGCAGTTTGCTTTCTCACTTTCTTTCTCTCTCTTTGTCTCTCTCTCTGGTCAACTTCAAAAAAATAAAATAAAATGACAAGGAATAAAATAAAAATTAAAAAATAAATAAAGCAGCAATCCTCAGTCTTTTTGGCACCAGGGACCAGTTTTGTTGAAGACAATTTTCCACAGACCCAGGGTGGGAGGCATGGTTTATGATAGCCCACCACCTAGATCCCTCGCATGTGCAGTTCTCAATAGGGTCCGTGTTCCTATGAGACACTAATGCCACCACCGATCTGACAGGAGGTGGAGCTTGAGCTATAATAGGGTGACAGGGAACGGCTGTAAATGCACACGAAGGTTCACTCACCCACCACACACCTATCATGTGGAGGGCTCCTGCAGGCCGCTGGTCAGGACTGGGGGTGGGGACCCCTGTTGTGAAGGATGCTGCTGGCCGCCTACAAACAGCCACCTCCTCTGCCTGTTTCTAACAGGAACCCAGTTTGGTTCACATACCCCCTTTCCAGCTTGTGGGAAATTCACTTCCCCTCTGGCTAAGGGATGAGCCTTACTGACCTAAGCTAAGCGG